CCCCAAAACCCCAAAACCCCAAAACCCCATGCATGAGTTTATGCCTTTTTTTAGAAAGAAATGAAATTTCTTGATAAATTAACAGCTAAATATATTAGTAAACAATTAGAATAGAATATAGAATGATGATTAAATTTAACTTGATATTTATATCAGCATTCCTATTCTTCTTAATTATTCATTAATTTAGAGGCAAATCAATAACGGTTAAAGAATCTCGTTTAGACTCACTTATTTGCATCCTTCAAAAACTCTAAGCTGATCTGTTTTGGTGTCGAATGAGATCAATCTCTTGCTCCATGCCGTCTAAATAGTCATCATCATCATCATCGTCCTCTTCCTATTGTTGATCATGATCTGCATCCAGATCATCTTCTCCATCTTAGTCCTACAGTTATTGGTTGAAGTCTCTGACTTTAGACTAGTGCTTCTAATTCGCTCCAGCCAGACCATTTTTATTAGTTTGGTGTTTGGACTTAAGATTGCCCTCTGGATCTACCAGTTTATGAGGTCCCCCTCCACTACTGTTTGTCCTCAAATCTTTTTATTTTTTCACAGTTGAAGGAGGGTTACTATCATCTGGATCCAGATTGAGATTACTCCCATGGCCCATAGCATATTGATTATCATTATATTCATCATCCTATATATTCCCGTTGTCTCTTTCTAAGTCATCTTCCAAGCCACCTCCACTACTTTAGTCAATGTGGACTTCCCCATCATCTTCAGAAATCTCTCCATTAAGAAGTTAAATGATCTTGTTTTTACGTTATTTTAGCTCCTCCTATCTCATAATTGACTCTTGGGATTCCTCACCCATTTCATCAAATCTTGATTCATTTTCGAGGAACTTCAAATATTGCTAGTATGTCACGTTCTCACCATTTTTCACCTTTTTTTATTTCTTGGAGTTGTCAGATTCATCATCGTCTTCCTCATCTTCCTCCTCACTATCTCTTTTTACTTTGGACAGATCTAGTCGAGGAACTTTACTACTCTCCATATCACTACCTCCTCTAAGATCCCTTCTTGCTTTAGAATATCTTTTACTGGTGCTTAATTCTATTATCTCTTGTCTGTAAGCAAGAATCTACTTTTTCATATCTTGGATCACCAGCTCTTGCTTATCTATACATTATTGCTGCCTCTTGAGTTCGAGGCTTAAATTTTCAATCTTTGATTCAGCATTTTTTCTCTCTAATCGTTCTTGTTTTAGTTCCTACTCAAAGTCAATTTCTTTTTGTTACTGCTAGAGCACTTTGTTTTAGGATTTGATATGGAATTCATATGAGGATTTTATTTTGGAAAGTAAGGAGGCAATTACTGAATCTTCTCTTCTAATAATCTCAGACCAGACTTTAGAACAAATGGCTACCTTTTAAGCTGATGACTTATCAATAAGATCTCTAGCTAGTGCTTCATCCAATTTCTGAAGCAGTAGTCTGTCTTCCTCTGATTGCTGTTGTCTTTTATATTCAAACGAGAGTTGTTTAGATTCATCATAGGGTGTGGCCTCATTGCTCTTATCTATCATGGAATTTCTTATTTTTTTAAAGCTTATCTTCTAATTATTAATCTTGTTTTAGTAGTGATTTGAGGAATTTGAATGACTTGAAGTAGGGTTGTTACTACTAAATACCCTAGAGGATTCTCTAACCTAAGCGCCATAATGATTTGATACATTGCTTCTTCTCTTTGAAGAGTTACTTCGACTTTGAGAAAATTTCTGATTTTCAGCAGCATTTTAGTTTTTCCTCCTGCTACTATTTCCAGATAGCTACTTTTGCCTTTTATTTGAGTTGATCTTCTTCTTTGTAGGCTTGGTAACATCAAAACTCTAATCTCTGTATTTTTTGTCAATGCTCTTAGCACCACCTAGGATGGAATTCTCATAAGACATTTATCCTTCAATCACTGTTTGATTTATCAAACTGTTGTTAAGATTGTAATTTTATGGTGCTAAACCTACACTATTAACTGTTGCAATAGAGTTGTTTAATTTAGACTGAGAGGACTAGACTTAAGTCTTGTACGCCCTAGCCTGTTCCATTAAAGACCTCTATTGATCTTCAGTAGAGTGACTAAATCCACCTAACAAATTTTTAATTTGAGATGGGTCCTGATTGCTTATCATAAAATGAGCTCCAGGGTCTGATGATGTATGATGATTTATGTTGTTATTCATATTATAACTGATATTAAGCATCATATGAGGGGCTAGCCTATAATTATAGATTTAAAGAAAGATAAAATATGCATACTATTAAAGTGAAGGCACTGGGTCAATTGAGATGACTGACATATTTTTGTTGAAGGCCTGCTAATCTTTCTACTATTACTTAAGTAATTGTTGTAGCATTAAATTTTCATACTAGATTGCATTGCCTTTCAGATGAGCTTTTTTATGGTTATCAAGAATTTTAGCTGAAAGCCTTCTTTCAACGAATTTCACATTGTTATTCATGTTATTCTAGTTCTGAGTAAAGGTGGTACTGACTTTGTTAGTCGCAGATACAGCGTGTTTACTTTGATGATTAGAAATATTTTGATTGATATTGGAAACGGCCAAGACTTTGTTATTTATCCCTGAAGATTTAGTACTAAATGCAGGCTACTTGTTTTATTTCTGCTAGTTCAGTATTTAGTTTGCATTAAGATTAGCCTCAATTAAATAGTTATTGATCTACTTTGCACCAGCATGGTATATGGGATTGTTTACACCATTCCCAACATATTACTGCAAAGTCATTTCATTATGCTAATTACTCGCAGTCTGTGAAACTTAAGAGTTCCTCTTTTTTTAAACGATTATATTATGATTGCCTCCGCTGCTATATTATCTTCCATTCGCTGGTGTGTTATTAGTGCTTGTTGAATAGTGCTGTCTCTTCTTTTGCTGAACAATCATCAGAGATCTCGGTGATTTTCCTTGCTTTCCATTGTCTCCTGAGTAGAAACTTTCGTTTCCAATGCTTTGATTAAGTGAAGGTTCTCCTGGTACTTTATTGAGTGGTTAAGACACATTCTTAGGCATACTAAGTCTTTTGTTAGCGAAGGAGTTCATAGAAAGGCGGCTCATGTTACTTGACTGCTAAATTGACTTCTGCTACTTGCTCTTTGATTTTTACAACTTCACCTAGTTATACTACTGACCTTGTATCTATGGAACATTGGGATTACCTCTGGTCAGTGAATAATTAGGTGACATTTCTCTTTGCAGTGAGGGATTAGGCTATATTAAGAAGATTTTAGCAGTAAATATTTCATACTGAGTAGGAGTGGTTGTTCGAGGACTTGGGTTGGGAGCTTGAGGCGGGCGATTTCGTCTTCTTACTGTACTTAGACTAAGTGGCTGCTCTCTGTAGAAGATTATTGCTATTTTGCTTTTCTTTTTTCATAATTAACAATTTAAATCAACAATAATACTTTCCTTATATTTCGTTAGTTAATTAGCTACATTAATTCCATTTTGATATACTAAAGGATCACGGGGTTTTGGGGTTTTGGGGTTTTGGGG